CTGATGTAGGAAAATTCCATACACAAATAACTGTTTTCTACCCATAAGACTTTCAATATGTAATTTAGGTAGAACTTCTAATTACCTGTACCATTTCCACCTTCTATAACAAGAGGAAAACAGTTTTCCAAGGTTTTAATGAAGAATGAATTTCCCATGGATGAAATCATCATCTAAAGTGAGGGAATATTATAGTTTCTTTTATTTAAAAGTTGTATTTATTTACTAAGAATTATTCACCTTTTGGGGGGAAAATCAAGTCACACAGCAATGCCACATAGTAATTTAAGCAATAAAGGCAATGGCCACGTAGGAGTCTGTGCTTACTGCTGTTTTAGGGATACTATAGATATACATGGATCCTACTACTTCATTGTGTCTTCTAACATAGCTGTTTCTGAACACTGGCATTTAAGACATTGATTTATTATAAATTACTTTCCTCTTATCTCACTTTCATATTAGTGTGTTCATACTTTTAACTGTGTATATAGGAAGATTATTATATTCCTTCATTTTAAAAACACTTGAGTTTTATGATCTAATCACTATGCTAGGCCCTTTGAATACATTGGCTGACAGAAAATATGGTTCTTACAAGTTAACAGTGAAGCAGACTAAGGCAGTTAGGGACAAATGCCAGAAGGGTCAGTGCAGAATGTAAAACTGAACGATGGGCCACAGACCCTACTGGGAGGGTCAGGAGCTAGATAAGAAGCCAGGCATGGTGGGCATGCCTTTAATCCCAGTGCTGGGGAAGCAAGAGACAGAAGCAGAAGCAGGTGGGTCTTTGAGTTCAAGGCTAGTCAAAGCTATAGCGTTGGACCCTGTTTGAGGTATGTAAGCGAAACAGTTAGGTACAAAGGAGCAGAAGACAGACACTGGACACGTGGGGCAGTATCAAACAACAGTCTGTCCACGGCAAAGGGAACTACGTAGAAGAGGGCTTGAAAAACTCGTTGATCCCTTTAGGTTTTTCGATGTAAACACAAGGATTTTACTGAAATAGGACAATATTACAGATTTGGGCCACAAGAATCACACAATATGATTTAAGTTTTCACAAATCTGTCAGGGGCCCAGCAGTGGTGGAATACATCTTTAATCCAAGCACTCAGAAGGCAGAGGCAGGGGGATCTCTGTGAGTTTGAGGCCAGCCTGGTCTACAGAGCAAGTTTCAGGAAAGCCAGGACTACAGACAGAAACCTTGGGGAGGGGGGTCTGTTTGGGCTTTATTTTCAGCTATTTGAGATTGAAAATGACAATAGCAGCTGAGAAAGTAAAAGCCACCATCAAATGACTTAGAATAGTCTGCAAAAACAGACTTTTGTCAAGAGAAAATCGTAAGTTTTAACTGTTGCCATGTTGAGCTTGGAAATTGTTTATATAACATTCCAGTGAAAATACTAAGCTAGAACCTGTATATAAGGAGTATGAGATGACAGTCCTGGATCAAGATATTTTTACTGGTTTTGGCACTAAAAATACTGTTTCATAAAATTAAATACAAATTGTTAGACATACACATAGCACACACACACATACATACATACATATACATACACACACACACACACACACACACATACACGTTTGGTGCTAGAGCACCTTTTGAGCCTGATGTTAAGGTGTTCTGGCATATGTCTATCAGGCTAAGGCCAGGAGGTCTGCAAATCTGAGGTCAGCCTGGCCTATAAAATTAGTTTTGAGTAGTTCAATAAACAAGTGAAGACAATTCTAATGAAAAGAAAATCTTCACATGCACACCACTAATAAATAGTTCTGATTTCACACAGACACGGTCATTTCTTCCTTATAGATATTTGTGGGGCAAAGGCACATACTAGAGCTTGTGCATGCTAAACATGTTGCTCTACTACTGAGCTACCAAACCCCAACCCCTAGATAGTCATGCCTAAACAAATAGAAGAAATGAAAAAGTGTGAAATGAAAACCACATGAGTGACAATATTTTGAGAGTCAAAAACTAAGATTTAGTGATTAATGCTACTGGGGATTTTGAAATGATCTCAACTTCCATCTTGATTTAGAATGCAAAGCTAGGTATGAGTAGAGACACACTTTTATATCACTGTTCTATAAAGGATGGCTATTGTCCAAGGAGAGTGTAAGAGTTGGAAGAAAAGGGAAAAGACAGAGTCCTTCTCTGACTATCCTCAGTGGATCAGCTGATCCAAGCCAGATAAGGCTCCAACACTGTTCCTTTGTGTCCAACTGACAGAGAACATTCTTGCCAATTTGACATGCCTCTGTTCCAATTTAGCTTCTAACTTAAACAATTCTTCTGAAACTACTCTTACAAAGTTCGTGACTTGGGATTCTTGTCCCCTGCTAGTTGACAGCCTTTTTCTCTCATCACTCATTCTTAGTTCCTCTAAGCACAACTCCTAATGGCTGCCCTCGGATCTCCTCACCACTCTGACCTAACTATCCCTTCTCCCCTCCATTCTCTCTGGACAATGGCACCGACCACCTTCCTTTCTACCTGCCCTCCACAAAACAATGATTTTTAAATGTTTACCTCCAGCCAAGTACAGTAACTCATGCCTAGAAGCCCAGAACACAAGAGCAATTCTCTAAGTTCAAGGTGAATCTGGGTTACATAGTACGTTTCCAGCCAGACAAAGCTACAGAGTTAGACCTACCTCTCATATAATTTTTAAAGAAAACAAATATTTTTTAAATATTTATTTACTTTATGCATATGAGTGACCTGTCTTCATGCATATCAGAAGAGTGACTCAGATCCCATTACAAATGGTTGTGAGCCACCATGTGGTTGCTGGGAATTGAACTCAGGACCCGATGAGCCATCTCTCCAGCCCCAAAGAAAAAAATGTTTACCACCATCCAGACATACCTTTGTGCTCTAAACCAGAAATTCACAATTAAAATATAATGTAGACCATATATGTAATTTTAAAAATTATAAAAATTACATATATGTAATTAATGTGATTAATTACCTTAGGCTTATTATGCATTCCTCATACCCTGTCATCCTTAAATCACTTTCAGGTCCTGGTCCCAGGTTACACTTTGAACAATTTAACAGTGAAAGGAAACTGAAAGTCTAACCACTTAAGTAGAGGGAAGATTTACACCCCACAGATATTTCCAGAATAACTGTATAACTATCAATACTTTAAGAAAAAATAAGAATTGTATTTTTTTTAATTTCACATTTAGAAAAACAAGATAAAATTCAACACTAGAAAGCTCAGTAGCCAAAAAAAAGTAATATAAATATCTACAAAAAAGAACAAACAAAAGACAAAAGGGGAGAAAGGCAAATTATTTGTACTTATAAAAAGTAATCCAGTCTTAAGGTACTTTCTGTAGTTACCTTTGTTGTAGAATATTATTTTAAGATGTATTGTATGTGTTTATGCTATGGAACATTTGTTTAACACTGCAAAGATGTGTTGCATTCTTTTATGTTGCATATGTTTAACTCTGTGAAGCTGTGTTACTGTGCCTGTCTAAAACACCTGATGGTCTAATAAAGAGCTGAATAGCCAATATAGAGGCAGGAGAAAGGACAGGCGGGGCTGGTAGGCACAGAGAATAAATAGAAGAAGAAATCTGAGAGGAAAAGAAGAAAGAGCAAGAGAACAAGGAGAGAAAGAAACAAGGGGCCAGCCACCTAGTCACACAGCCACACAGCCACACAGCCAGCCACAGAGTAAGAGTGAAAGTAAGATTTACAGAAATAAGAGAAGGTAAAAGCCCAGAGGCAAAAGGTAAATGGGTAAGTTAAGAAAAGCTGGCTAGAAACAAGCCAAGCTAAGGCCAGGCATTTATAATTAAGACTACGCCTCAGTGTGTGATTTATTTGGGAGCTGGGTAGTGGGTCCCCAAAGGAATAAACAGCCCAAAGAGTAGGAATAAAAAAACCAACAACAACATTTAAACGTTCTAACATGGAGCTAGAGTAAAAGAAAATCCAACAACATACCTTAGTAGACATAAGCTAAAGACCACAGACATTTCAAGTTCAAATTGAATACGATAAATGAGAATTGAAAATACAATTCAATACATAACAAGACTTAAAGGAGGTTTTATAGAAATACACCAAAACTCAAAATTACAACATTTTTAAGTTATTAATTTCACTAAGGTTAAATTCACTTTAGGAAGTTTTTGAAAAATCTGGACTATGGTATTAATTCCTAACTAAATATTTCTGGAACTTTAAAAACTTAAAAACATTAAAATGATGTAGTTATAAAAAATTCCTGCAGTACAGCAGACAAAATTTAAGTTTGCTAAATTACTAAAGCCTGTCATCATAAACTTATGTCATCCAACTCGGAACGCAGCTTAGCGGGAGAACACTTGTCCTCTACGTGCAAAGCCCTGAATTTAATACGCATCAAAGCAAAAACATAAAATGAAAGAGCTATAATGTCATTACTTCCAGAGGAAAAAGGTGATAACTGAAAAACTGGTGTTTCAATTAGACATTTATGATGTTAGGTTATATACTTTATATAATATCTTCAGCATCAAAAGAATAAATCTGGCCTATAAAGAAACCATATCTAAAAATTAAACACTAAGTTATTTAATAAATTTCAAAGAACAGTAACATAGTTCAGAAAGATTCAAAATAGTTACTTCAGATGGCCATCAAGGAATTATAGCCACGTATCCCACCATCTCCTACCATTGCAGCTTAACAGAAGTAGTAGCATTAACATGCCGCTGCCCCTTAAACCAAATACTTCTCCAAAAATATAATTAAAATCTGTATCTAAGTGCTGTTAAATATTCTCACTAATCAATAAGAAGTATGATAAAGGAAAGTTCTTAGAGGAATTATCCATTCAAGTCCACACTGCAGTTTGTACTTTTAATTCAAGAAAGGGAAAGAACTGTTAGCCCATTGTATATTTTAACATAGTCAATCTCAAATCACTAATCTAGAATTAAAGATTTTTAGAGCATTAAAACCCCACACCTGAAAGACTTACCATTTTATCTAGATGTTCAATGGATCTATAAATCTCCCCCTGGGATTCATCATAGTAACTGTAACGGAACCTTTGACCTTGAAACAAATATCATGTACAAAATAAAATAGGGAAAAATTAGAAGCTAAAAAGAAAGCAAGCGCTTACCAAATAATTTCAGTTCTCACAAAAGGCAAAGCACAGCTTAAGCCTCTGCAAGAACCAATTCCCATGAGCCCTCAACATAAAGAGGCATATTTGGGAAGGTAATAAAGAAATGACACATCACCAGAATTTTAAGATGTTAAAAACTATTTCATACTGCAGAAACTTTAAAATCACCAGCAATACAAGAATAAGGAAACCAAGAGCTTAAAGTTAGAAGCATTGTTAAACATTCTCTCAGCCTATAATTGACAGTAAACCCCAAGACTACAATTCAAGAAAACTTCAGGAAACTATCTCAGTGGGGTTATCACTGCTGAGCTCTCTGAGAGAAGCAAATGTATGTGTCAGCCATACTTGAAGCTTGGGCGGCTTTTACGGCCATTATTTTTTAAGGAAAAGGACCAATACACGTGCCTTATGCAACGTGAACAGAACTCACAAAAGAATAAATCAACCGTCCTACACTGACATGAAATCCCAGCTCAGAGTACAAGCACAAAATAGTCAATGTTCAGCTGCTCTTCAAATAGCAGAGATTACAAAGAAATTTTTTAAAAAAGAAAGAAAAAGAAAACAAAGATTCAGGAAATAAATTGCTTCCTAATGTAGTAATATGAAATTCAAAAGGTAATATCCATAACTACTTACAGATTAACTATGGTAGATTTGAGATACCTCTAACATAGCTTTCAGCAAGGCTGTTCTTCTTTACTTTCATGTTTCCTTCTTAAATTTGAATTGTTTTTATGTGTGTAGGTGTTTGTCTGCATGTCTGTTTACCACACACATGCCTGGTGCTTGTAGAGGCCAGAAGAGGGTGATAACGGAGTTACAGTTGGGTATAAGCCATCAACTGGGTGCTGGGAATTAAAACTGGGTCCTCTGGAAAAGTAGCCAGTGCTCTTAACCACTGAGCCATTTCTCAGGCCATATTTTCCTAATTTTTAAAGCTTTGCCAAAATGTGCTTCTAACGGTGTCGGATATACTCATCATGTACACACAACTGTGCCTTAGGCATCATGTCTACAACTATAAATAAGTCCAACTTCTAGCCTCACAACTGAGAAAGCAGATTCCATTGGAATTTTATGATATTTTTTAAGTTTCCTGTTCATCTTATTGAAAACACTATCATACATATAATGATCAGTGCAAAATTATAAAACTCTCTTTAATATCTTCTTAAAAACATACCATGTATCTCATCTGTGGGTGCTAACCTCTTTTTACTTTCCTAAATGCACCATATTTCTTAATTTTCTATTTTCCTAAAATGCACCATATTTCTTAATTTTCTTATTTAACTCCTAATATTTAACTTATCTCCTAATGCCACTCAATATAATAACTATTAACTTCCCAGAGAGCTCTTATTAAAGTTCTCTTATAGCTGGTATCCTAGAATTGAGCAGGCTGTGAACTAGTCTGTTCTCTGAATTTAACAACAAAGATGACTGCATGCGGCCAGACATGGTATATTTTAATGCCCGTGCACGTCCAAGTGCACACACATGCTGCATTGAGTGACAGGTGATCATTGTTGTCTTTATGAATCCTTCCAGTTCAGAGACTGTAGTAGATCTCACACCATGCATTTCTGGTCGCATGCAGTCATCTCTGTCATTAAGTTCAGGACGGCCTGCAATGTCAGCTCTCTCCATCTACCTTGTGGGTCCAAGGATCACCTTCAGAGTTCAGGCTTGTTGGCAAGCACTTCTGCTCAGAAGCTCATCTTGCTAGCCCTCAACGCCTCTGAGTTAAATAATGCAGCATGTTTTTCTTTATAACTCGGTTTTTCTTCAGAGAAGGCGTATTATACACAGTAATGAGGACTGTCCGACCATAAGGACTGTACAACTGACGCCATTTTCCACACTTGCCAGGTAGTTGTAAGAAGACTACATAAAGGCAAATCTATATCTCAGTCAGCCTAGCCTACTGACTCAACTCACTGGTACTATATTCATGTCTATTTCAAAGTTCTGCCCATCTCCTGCAAAACAATTAAACGAACACCTTAAACAAGGAAATTCTGCTTCCTTGTCACTAATCTAAAAATAACATTCTAGAAGAAATCAAAGTACTGTGTCTCGATTCTTTTAAAGCTGGACTATTTCAGGTTTATACAACTGTATTCTCTTTTCCCTGCTTCTAGAAACAGCTGCTCCTTTTAGCTACTATCTGTAGACCTTATGCCTATAAAAGACTGCTATTCCTGGTGCTTCATGACAGTTATTTGCTACTCAAAAGTCCTTGCTCACTTCCAAGTGAGGAGTTGTTTTCAAGTAACAACCTTGCCAGGAGAGCAAGAAGGGGGTGTAACAGTGTGTTTATGTGAGGTTATACCATACAGATGACCTTCCAGCTAACTTTAAAGTATTTCTGAAGAAAGGCACAGGTGTTTGAAATACTTTAAAATATTGGAATCATCATGTAATTTAATGCAAATGTGAGTATACATAGGAAACCAATTGGAACAAATGTTTAGTATTTTGCTACCTGTTATTTTTTTGTGACCAACTCACATTTAGTAGTATAAAAGTTAAAAGATAAAGATGAATAGCTCATAGCAATAAAGAAACTAAATTTTCAGTACATGCAGGTACTGAATATTTTACTCATTAACAGCTCATAATGTTTTCATGATAATTTTTAAATTGTACAAGTATTTTCAAATTATTTGAACAACCCATTCTAATCAATACAGAGATACTGCATCTAATCTGAAGTAATGAGTTGATTTCATCTTACTTTAGCCTGGATGGGTTATGTATGTATGCATGCACACAAGCATACGTATGTGTGTGCATACACACACAAATATGAAAGTCAACTGCTGCTTGGAAACTGAGTCAAGATACTTCTTATTTAAAAATTAATTTCTCAAGATTTCGTTCATTAATAAAGGAAACGATAGTACTAGCATAATATACTGATCAAAAATGCACCTTTAGTTTTGAATTGTTCATTTAAAATAAATTCTGATTGCATGATTCTCATGAGAAACTATTTTATTCTGTAAGTTGTTATACTTCGGACTTTCGGGGCAATCGTGAAGCTGACTATATACAAACAGCTGTCTCCATGACTGGAGGACGGGAATTGTACATTCTTTTCTAAGTATGAATAAAGCATATCACGTAGTAGAGAAAATTACTTACCTGAAACTTATCCTTTCAGAAGGTACACTGGGAAAATGGATTCTTTGAGCCCCTGTTTCAACTTCAAGTATGAGCTTTCTAGCTTTAAGAGCCATGGACACCGCCCTAGGGGCGGGACAAGCTCTGGAACTCCCTAGTGAGTATGTCAGTGGTTTCTTCAGGTGCCTTCCCTCAGTTCTTTTCAAATTCAAAAGATGAGAGGAAAAATAACCCAAGGAAAAAAATCCTGTAAAGCAGAAACCTTACTCTTTGAGGGAAGGAGGGTAGCTCATTTGTGAATCCATTCCAGAGCACGCTTTCTGAGAAAAAGAAATACAGGTAAGTAATTTTCCCATCTCCAAAGGTGACTGGTGATTGATTAATGAGTGGATTCACAGAGTGTGGAGAGGAAGCTCCAAGGATGTCTGTTTAACACACAACAATCAACCAATGAGGACAGACAACGATGGATGGCACAAGAACCAACACTATGCTTGAAGGATCTCAAAACAAAAAGAAACAAATTAAACAGCTCAACAGTAAGCTACACACTAGCCTGCTGAAATAAGCAATGACCTAATAATGTTACTCTGCAAAACCCCCAAAGTATCAGTCAGTAGGAAAGCCCTTCAGATATATGACCAATAGAATCTGTTCTGTGTACATTTACTCTTCACTTTGCTAATGGTGAGCCATTTTTCAAATGTGTGAACCCTTCCACAAATCCAGTAGGGAGATTAGCAGGCCATTCTACAAGGAGGTCCTAAACCTGGAACACCTAGAACTGAAATCACAGTCAAAGAAAAAAAATGTATTTCACAAAAGAAAATACTATCTGTGTTCTATCAAATAAGATCATTTTTTCTAACAACTAGATGCTATCATCTGTTCATCCTGAATTGTTACAATGCCTAACAAAACCCTAAACCTGGGATGAAGATGTACAAAGACCTGAGAAGACAAATGTATAGGCTTGGATAAGATACATTTTAAGAATTAACTAACATACTCAAACCAACTTCAGACTTTAGAAAGTGGAAATATCCTTGCACTAAGAAACTTAACAGGAAAAGGAGTATATATGAATCACTTAATGAACAGCACAAAAGAAATCTGAACATAGTATAAATTTTATAAATGCTTTGGGTTAAGTTACTTTGAATAAGTAGCTCAAGCTTCGAGAAAAAAAAAAAGTTATATAATCTAAGCAAATTTTAAATTGCTAAAGAGACTACCCTAGATTATATTCATATTTTAACAAAATAATGTCAAAAATATTTAACTCAGTAAATTTATTGGAACTGATTTGTAAAACCACCATAAAGGCAAATTAATAATTACTTCACTTTCAATTTGTTAGGTCTAATTTTGTTTAAAAATTTTTAATAGTTTACTAAAACTTATGCTAATGAAAGCTATCAATCTAAACTTGGAAACATAAATTTCTATGAGGACATAAACAAACAATAACAGTATATATGGAGAATATCAGAATTGAAACTTGGGAAATAGAATAAAAGTTTACTAATTAGATCATTGAAAGAGGTCCAGACAAGTTTCTCCTACACTGAATCATCCTCCAGGATGTAGAACTTGGTAAGTATATTAAGTATTAATAGAACTTGGTACGCATTTAAGATTAAAAAAATCAAAAGCTAATAAGTAATGTGAAAGAGGATTCTTACTATTCCATACTCTGGGGCTGATACATTTGTCATATGTCTAAGATGATGACAAGATTCAAAGCAGGGACTCAAATGCAGTTCCGTTTTAGGGAACTCCCCTGAGGGGACACAAAGAGTGAGCGAGGTGACAGAACACAGGTTCCTCCCCCAACCCCATGCCTTGCCTCATTCCCAAAGAATCCCAAATATTCTAGTCTCTCCACTTTTTTCCCTCTGGTGTCTCTCTAAAGATGAATACCTATTTTTATAGAAAGAAATCGTTTTTAGAAAGGGACACTGGCTGATAACGAGGAGACTACACTTCCCGAGCATCTCTTGGGAGCACAGTTTTCACCATTTCCACAAAAGCTGGACAAAAAAACAAAGAGAACAAATACCAGGAAGAACAAGGTAGCACTACCAGTAGCCTAATTCAATAAAAACAAAGGCCCACTATGTATATCTATCTGTAATCAAGTAATACCATAAACCAGTAATTTTACTTCAAATTACTTATTTCAGCTACTTAGAATTAATTTAATGTTTAAGGCCTATGTACTGAAGAACTGAATCACTCCTGGGAAATTATTGACAATTCACTCATTATGATTGCTTTTACATGGTTTAAAAACAACATGTCCCATACCTTTACAAGTAGGAAAAAAAAGCATGGTGCACAATGGTATATGCCTGTGACCCACTTAGGGAGGCTGAGGCAGAAGGATGAAAATTCAAGGTCAGCCTGGGATGGCAAGATTCTACAAGATGGGGAGAAAGGAGGAGGAAAAAGAAACAAAATATCAACCTTCATAAAGAGCTAAACTGTTGATATGGAATATAAATTTGAAAAACATGAATTTGATTCCTTAAATGGCATAACTTGTAGTTGGCTAATGATTCACCTTAATAAGCATGTAAAACAGAAAGCATTATGGTTTACAAAGTGACAATTACTATTTCCTGTGATGTCAATTTTCAAATATTATCCACATCACACCTGACACTGTCTGCCATACTATTACCCAGAAGGAATTACTTAGTGCCTTATGTAAGTAAAGTGAGCACTTAATGTCACTAAGTAATGATTGTGCAGCTATCTATGGAGCACTGGGAAAAGCTCCTTCGCTTAACCACTGAATGTAAACACATAAGCCTGGAGTTCTTCACTGCTAGCCATTTACCAGCCTTAGAAAATTTTGAGGGTTTTTCTTTTTTCAATTATCACATGGAAAGCCTATTACAACTTAAATATTAACTTTTTTAGAAACTGAGGAAAAACAGTCTGTAACTTTCTAAGAATCTTGGTTAGCTGTAAAAAAAACAAACTTATTTTTCTCTCTCAACTGTAGAGTAAGGTATGTTTGCATTAAGAGTTCTTTATTAACCAGGCAGTGGTAGTACATTCCTTTAATCCCAGCACTCAGGAGGCAGAGGCAGGTGCATCTCTGAGTTTGTGGCCAGCTTGGTCTACATAGTGAATTCCAAGCCAGTCAGGGGTACAAGGCAAGGCCCTGTTTCAAAACAACAATAACAAAAACAACAGCCAGGCCTTGGTCGCACACACACGCCTTTAATCCCAGCACTCAGAGACAGAGGCAGGCAGATTCTGAGTTTGAGGCCAGCCTGGTCTACAGAGGGAGTTCCAGGACAGCTGGGGCTACACAGAGAAACCCTGTCTCGAAAAAGAAAATAATCATCATCATCATCATCATCCTTTATTGGTGAGGTAAAAAGAATGATGACTCACACACATGTAAAACAGGAACACTACACCTATTACCAGGCATGATGCCTCATGCCTGCAATCTCAGCACCCAGGAGAAAGATGCAGGAAGACTGTGAGTTTGAGGCTGGCCTGGATAACACAGTGAAAGCTTGTCATAAAAAAAAAAAAAAAAAAAAAAAACACATTTGGGCTGGAGAGATGGCTCAGTGATTAAGAGCACTGGCTACTCCTCCAAAGGTCCTAAGTTCAATTCCCAGCAACCACATGGTGGCTCACAACCATCTATAATGAGATCTGATGCCCTCTTCTGGCACACAGGCAGACATGCAGCCAGTACAGTGTATACATAATAATTAAATAAATTTAAAAAAAAAAAAGCTTCAAAACTCCCCATTTGATGCAGGTTTACGTTGTGGTTGCCTATGTTGCCAACTAGAAAGACTAATCTGGATAGCATCAAGAGAACAGTATCAAGTGATTCATAAGAGACTTCAAAAATAAAAAAGGAAAAAACATTTGCTTCAAATTTTGTTTTCCAAAACATGAGCATGTCTTGTTCCTGAGAGAAACACACACTGAGAAAGGGAGCTCTTCTTCCTAACAGTACTCCTTACTTCAAGATCTTTGAATAATTTCTCATTCTTGAGACAGGAATTCCCTTCTAAGCCTCTATATGGGTCCTAGAATCTAAGAAATATAGTGACATGAATAAAAAATTACTTCTGCTAGAAAGAATAATGCAAACTAGACAGCTGAATGAGTTACTGAAGAACCCAGGAAAAGTCTTTAGAAGGAAGCTCAGCTCCCATACACCCTAACAATGGGTTTCTAACCTCAGCACTATAGATACTTTGGACCTTCACTGGGTGGAGGCAGGGGATTGATCTGTGTACACTAAAATATTTAGAAATTTCCCTGAACTCTACTCATTTGATAGCAGAAGCGTCATCATCCTTCAAATCACTTCACAGATGTGACAATGAAATCTACAAAGATTTCCTGCTATTCTCCAATTTTCCCTAGGAGGAAAACCACACTCACGGAGCACTAGTGTCAACCGTGCTAGCAATTTACATCTTCTAATATCTACACCATGAAGACAGTCAAGTGGAGAGTACAACTTAAGAGGTCTACTCAGAGAAGGATGCAAAGAGAACCCAAGCAAGGCAGGTAAACTGCAGGCTCCATTCTCAAGAGAAAGCAAAGGGCTCCTATATAACTCACTTGAGGATGTTTTCTGGCATTTTGGTGTTTTAATCTTTAAAAGTATGGTTTTATGTTTCCTTATAATAAAAGTAGAAGAGAATGAACCTATTAGGTATGTCTTAAAATTGTGAAGAAATGAGCCAAAGAGATGTCCTAAAATGAATGGAACTTAAATATTCTGAGACAGTTCAAGATAAGTGAAAGCAAACAGCATTCAAAGAACGCAAAATCAGTTTCCTAAAAGAGGATGGATAGCCACAATGTATCACTTCTTTACAATCTAGTCACTGTAAAATATCATTCCTCTTAGTTTACAATAATCATAAAACCCACTTGAAGATCACAGTGCTAATAGTCTGTATGTTCTAATATTAGAGGGCAACTCAAAAACTTACTAAAATTTCAGACAAAAAAATATTCACCAAAAGAAAAGAGAGAGACTAATTACAAAAAAGAAAACCTGAGAAAGACCAGTATAGCACACAGTACTCTTCGACATTGTGAAGAATTTGCTCTATCCACCAAACCTGACCTCCAAGACCCTACACTATACATAGGTACACAAATATGGGGCTAACAGTTTTTAACTCCCACTAACAGAAGTATTCAAAAGCAAGGATGCCCTCACAGTGTGAATCCAACTGTACCAGTCGCCTTTGGAAATGTGCCTATATCCTCTGCTCATCCTTGTTAAATGACCAAAAGGCTGTTTTATTCACTTTTAAACATGGCTGCTACAAATACAACTTTGCAAAAAGTGATAAAGAATTGAGAATCAGAGCTTGGACTGGAAAGAACCCTTTAAGCACAAATACACAGCATCTAGCGTATGTTAAAATCTAGGACTTACCCCAGTGGCAGAAATCAGAGGAGACCACAAAGAGATTACTAGGATCCGCTAGATATTTACTGAAGAGTTTTCCGAATTCCTGTTCTTTTGACTCACTCAGAGCTCCAACCAGTACAGGAATAATGGTAAACTCATCTTTATGGCTTAAAGAAAACAGAAAAAATAAAAATAAAAATAAAAGTCATTTAAGCTGTTTAAAGTTAAAAATATTTTTCCAATTGTGTTGGCATTAAAAAGTGGAACATTTATTAACAATGATAATGATAACAGACATATTTGATTGTTGAATCCTAAAAATCTACAAAAGAAATTTTGAAGGAAGCTGATTTAAAAACAAGTACAAAATACTAAAAGTATCTATTTAAGTTACCAAAACGTGCACTACTTTAAGTAAACAAAGCTCTTGTACTGCCAGGTATAAAACATGTTCAAAAGTAAGTCCATCAGACCGTCCCCAACTATTCATGAAGGCTAGAATCGCCTACCCAGTCCTACCGTTTTCAGAGCATGAAAGCCTTCCTCATCTACTTCAATTTGATCCTGTAAATATACACCATTTCTGGCACCTATTCTATAAACCTGCAAAGCACGACCTACAGAACTTGAACTTGGCTCCTGTGAGATTCATCGACTGCTAACCCTAACAGTCAAATATATGCCAGCCTCCATACAACTCAAATTTCATTGACGTCAAGAGTAACAAAAGAATTAAAGGATATATTCATTTCTAGTACACCCCCCAAAAGACACACGCACCCACCCACATCATTTATGGTATATCCAGTTCCTTTTGACTGACAAATTTATGGAAAGAAACAAAACAGATTAATAACTATGATTTAAGTGACTATGATTTAAGTAACTATAATTTACTGCATTTTACAAAATATTTAAAATTGTTCGCTATAACGGAATTTTAATAGTATATATATATTCAGTATTTATGTATCAATGGTCCTAAGAGTTTTAGAAGCATGAATTATGTTTGTCTAAACTTGTTTTGAATAGGACTTTTAAATTCAGCATTTTAATAACTATTTTTAATGTTAATAACCTGACACAGGACAAACAGACTTCATAAAAGGTGTTTGTTTTGTTTTTAACACTAAGTTTAAGTAATCACAAAATAAATGTTGGCTAAGCTATATAACACTACTTCAGGGCACCCAAACACCTCCCCCATAAGAGCCCCCTTACCCTTGTCAACTGCGAAATAAACAGATCATACAGACCTCCAGTCCCTCTGCAATGCAGGGGCTTCTTGGGCAGAATCTGCATCTATGGTGTAAGGAAAAAAAGAAGAAGCTGGCAGAGGAAGCTGCCATGGGACATCTCATTCTCTGATTCTTACCAGTTTGCCAAGTAACTACACAGAGCAAACAAGGCCTTTTTCTTTAATCAGGTTAATTACTAATTGAAAGAATTTTGGCTTCTAATAAAAATTTTGGTAACTGCCATGAATTATTCTAACCTCAAAAATTACCTCCAAAACTAAATACATGAAGATCAAAGAGATTGCAAATACTTATGATATGGTAGGGAAGCAGCTGTTGTGCAAATTATAAGAAGCAAAGGAAAGCCAGAGAGATGGGTTTAAGGAGCATTCCTGTGGCACTTGAAATGATTGCCCGTATCTTTAGAAGGATCACACCCAGAAAAGCTATCTGATGAAAGTTATCACATGAAGCATACAGTCAGAAAGTGTCAACTACAGATGGCTTGCTCTGCAGAAACAACAAATCTACTCTTCACAGACCCACCAAACCTTCAAATAATCTCAATGAGCATATAAATCGATCTCTACAAAGAAAAAAGTCCAGTCCACCACAGAAACCAAGGGAGTGAATCATGGCTCATCATTTCAGTCTTTCTTGCCAATTTTAAAATTTTACTGTTTCTCTGTCTCCATGAGCATGAATTAGAAAAAAAGAACACTTGACTTTGAAAAATGAGTACTAGGACTGGAGAGAGTTAAGAACAATGGCTGCTCTTCCAGGGGACCCAAGTTGAATTCCCAGCACCCACATGGCAGCTCACAACTGTCTGTAACTCCAAAATCTCACACAGACCTACATGCAGGCAAAACACCAATACACATAAAATAAAAATCAATTATAAAAAAAGAAAAATAAGTACTTTTGAATCTTAAAGGATCTTAAAATTCAAGTTCTGAAGTTGATTTTCCAGTAAAGTATAAATATGCCCACTGAAAAAATTATAAAACTGGATAAAGCTTTTAAACAACAATTTTTGTGCACTTAAGTCAACTAAAGAGGAGGAAAACATCGTGTCTCTTCATGACACATAACAACTTCCTGTTAAGATCAGTAGGCCGTCTCCATCCCTGCCCAGTGCCAGAGGCAGAGAAGACCCACCACAGCAGAAAGCTGCAGGTTGCTAAGTACAAACTAGAGAATCTCACACGTTCCTCAGCCTGAAGTCAGTGGAGCACACCAAAGCCTACGGATTAGCTACAAACTTAATAGGAAGACCCTAGATAGAGGAGGGCCACACACTTGATAAACTGTCCTAAAATCCTAAGGAATGGGACTTTCATCCTCCACATAACTTTGGCTGACCCAAAAGATCCCAAGGTCACTAAAAATCCAGAGCCTCTAAGTATGAGAGAGAAGAACCAGGACATTAGAGGTGAAGCTAATCACACATGCCATGCCTGCATTGCTGGGGGAGCAGCTCAGCTATAGAATGCTCATACAGGAAGACACAAGACAACTCAAGAGAAAGTCGGAGGGCAAGGAGAAAGACACTAAGCTTGTTTGACTACGCTCCCCAAAGTACGTGACACTCCGCATAGATAGTGAAAGCATCCTGGGCTCACGATGTTTAAATACAACCTATAAGCAATCATTTGCTAAATACTAAACTACGATCACTGGCGAAGTCCCTGAAAGCTGAGTGAAAACATAAAAATATTCATTTCTTGAAATAATAGTGGGAAAATAGATTCTGCAGCTGGAATGCATACAAAATGCTTAATAATAAAGCCTGCATGGAGAAAATGAATAAAACCAGAATTACTACAAGACTACGTAAAATGTACCACTCAAGAAAAAAATATAATCTATGTTAAAAAAAAAACACCAAACTATGACACTCTATAAAAATAATAGCCAATAAATGTTAAGATCAGCTCGATGCTGAGATTTAGTAAATTTCAAAATTGTTATGAGAAATATATTCAGAGAATTAAAGGAAGCTATTTAAAACACCACCTTAAAAATGTGCGTGCGTGCGTGCGTGTGGTGTGGCAACAAGATATATCAACAAAGTAATCCAAACTGTTTTTTTAAAATGGATCACTGAAAAGTACAATAACTAAATGAAAACATTTACCTACTGGATCAAAGAAGAGAATTAACCTTTTAATAAGGATGAATGTCTGCAATCAGCAATGGACTCGAGAGGCCAGTTACGGCAGTGCAGCTGTACTAAGGAGGCTAAGAGAAGAGGAGAGCAACCAGCCCAGACCACAAAGAAGACCTTGTCTTCAACTAGGGGACAGGCAAAGACAACGCTTAATTTAAACCATTAGCCAATTTGAACAACAGAAAAATAGTAAGGAAATATAAAGAGAACTGGGGAATGTAAGACGATATGAAGCATGCAAACTAGCATCAAACCCAAACAGAGGAAACAAAAAAGAACAGATGCCAAGAATGTCCTCAAAATCTCATGGAAAACATTAACCAAACAAATCGGATCCTCACCTACTCCAACCAAAGACGAGGCTCGCCACCAAAATAAACTTACACCTTTTGATTCAAACTGTGTCCAAGGATTTTCAGAGGTAAAACTGTAACTCATCTAGTCCAATGGGATCAGGGAACATCTTTCCTTTCTTTCTTTCTTTCTTTCTTTCTTTCTTTCTTTCTTTCTTTCTTTCTTTCTTTCTTTCTTTCTTTTCTTCCTTCCTTCCTTCCTTCCTTCCTTCCTTCCTTCTTTCTTTCTTTCTTTCTTTCTTCCTTTTTTTTGGTTTTTGGAGAGACAGGGTTTCTCTGTGTAGCTCTGGCTGTCCTGGAACTCATTCTGTAGACCAGGCTAGCCTCCAACTCATAGAGATCCGCCTGCCTCTGCCTCTTGAATGCTGGAACTAAAGGCGTGCGCCACCACTGCCCTACTGCAAACATCTTTTTAAAGGGACCATAAAACACTTAGGTTTTCTGGGCCATACAATATCCAGAATAAAAATATCCAATATTATTACAGAAGGACAGTGGGCAAAGACAATACAATATACTAGTACCTGGGTGTGGCTGGTTGCCAATAAAATCCTACTTACAAAACAATATATGTTGACACACAGACTTGTATAAGAAATGTTTATAACATTATACACAATAACCATAAATAACAGACTTCATTATTTAAATCGACCATGCAAAAATAAAGGTGTTTTATAAGTAACTCCAAAAAGTTATCAATCCCTGCCATGATGAACTTTTAAGATTGGAAAGAACCAATCAAAGCAGAAGATTAAAGAGAGTTACAAAGACGCTCCAAGTGTTCCATTTTTAAAACAATGGCAGTAGCAAAACTAACACAAGCTGTAAGGAATCTGAACAGTTGGTGACTTGTGTGTTTTAGTTTTGTTTGGAGACAAGTGTCGCTGTGTCACACAAGTTAGTTTTCCCCGTCTTTGTCTTCCTAACACTAGGATTTCAGGCACACACCACCCCATGCCCAGCTACCAATAGTTGACTGTTTTTTTGGTGCGGTGTTTTTTTTTTTTAAGATTTATTTACTCTTATTTTATGTGCATGATGGGTGTTCTGCCTGCATCAATGTCTGTGCACCTTGAACATGCAGTGCCCAAGGAAGCCAGAATACGATGTTAGATCTCCAAACACTGGAGTCATAGACAGTTGTTTAAGGCCATATGGGTGCTGGGAGTTGAAATCAGGTCCTCCATAAGAGCAACAAGCCAATCCTCCAGACTCAAAATACATTTTTCAATCAAACACTTTCAGTGCTATTTTTCTTACTACTTCTGCACATTTTTTAAATTAAAAACTTTAAGTTATAAAAACCAAATAAAGAAAAAAAGTAGTAAATATAGAAAAAAGGTGATCAAACTATAAACTCCAAATATACAAACGAACAACAACAACTCCCCTCACAGGAA